CTTTCACCAAAATGCACCTTGGTCCTGCCCCCACTGTGATGCTTTGGGACAGGCCTAGAGCTTAGTGGTGCTCATTCTTCAGAGTGTCTGGCCCTGGAAGCACAAAAGCCTATCAAAATGATAAATATGGATGGAAAGAACACAAGACCCTCCTGCCCAAGGCTTGAGCACTGGCATCACTAAGGCTCCAAAGAATTAAGGGAGGGAGATGGACTGGGTGAGAGGAGGAGAGCTATTTTTAAAACCCAGAGAGAAAAGTTTGACTGGAAAGGCAATAGGCATAGATGTTTAAACTGCTCTGGGTCTTCTCCCCAATCTCAGCACATTCCATGCATGGATGTGGGCTAGAGTAGGCACAGCAGGTCCATGCCCGGTGGAAGTCCTAGGATGGTAATAATAATAATGGCTATTCATTGAGCACATGACTGGAACACTGAATTCTCCCAACATCTGTATAAAGTGATTTCTATTGTCAGTCCCATTTTTCCTGTGAGTACATCCCAAGCATTAAGCCTACTAAAGAAAAGGCTTACTCAGATCCCCATCGTCCATCATAGGTGTACTGCACTGCTCACAAAGCAATTTTACATTCATCATCTCCCACAACTTTTATAATTAACCTGGTCTGTGGGGGTTAGCCCAAAACTAGGCGGTAGAAGGAGAATATTTTACAGAGGCCCTATTTGAGCAATCCGTCTCTAAGTCTCAGGAAAACTAAGAGATCACTCCCTAGAAGTACTAAATAATCCTGCATGACCTGACCCCTGATTGTCAGACTGTGGGGTTTGACTCCCACTGCTGGCCACTCTGGTTTCCTCAGTGAGGCAGCCTCTCTGGTTAATCTTCAGGTGAAGAAAGAAATCAGTAGCGCCTGGGTGGCTCAGTCGTTAAGCGTCTGCCTTAGGCTCAGGTCATGATTTGGGGGTTCTGGGATCTAGCCCTGCCTAGAGCTCCTTGCTCAGCAGGAATTCTGCTTCTCCTTCTCCCCAGACCCCACTCATGCTCTCTCTTGCTATCTCTCTCTCTCTCTCTCAAATAAATAAACAAAAATCTTTAAAAAAAATCGAAACCTCCAGTCAAATAAACTAGACTGAACCTCCCTGTCTGGCTGGCTCCCCTTTGACTCCCTATTCCCCAACCCACTCCCACCCTCCTGGAAACAAACAAATCATAAAATGAAGTATTCTTAAGCCAAGTTCCGCCAAGCACTTGGATAATGCTTACTGGCTTTTCTAGACATCCCTGGAGCTGGGTCAAAATGATGATTTCCAGTCTATAGTTCCAAGGTCATTTATTGATTCAGCATGCAAATATTTCCCTGAGATCCTACCATCTGCATGAAACTGCACTCTGTTGGGTTCAAACATGCTTCCTCACACTCCTTCAAGGTGCTCAAATTCCAAAAGATTCAGATAGAACCCCAAATAATTCTAATGTGGGCAAGAATAATAGTTAATGAGGGAGGGAAGTTGATAATGGAATTCAGGAAGAGTGCTTTCTTTACTATATGTTGGCTGAGTGAACATAATAATTAAAATTTTTAATTAAGTTTTTATTATTTAAAAATAATAGTTAATTATTTTAGTTAACATATAGTATAATATTAGTTTCAGGTATACAATATGGTGATTCAGCACTTCCGTATGTCGCCTGGTGCTCATCATGACAAGTGCACTACTTAATCCCCATCACCTATTTAACGCATCCTCCCACCCACCTTCCCTCTGGTATAGTTAAGAGTCTGCTTCTTGGTTTGCCTCTCTCTTCTTCCTTCTTTGCTCATTTGTTTCATTTCTCAATCCACATATGAGTGACTTCACTTAGTGTAATACTCTCTAGCTCCGTCCATGTCATTGCAAATGGCAAGATCTCATTTTCTTTGGAAGAGTGCCTTTTGAGAGGAACATCATCACATAATGCTTTAGGGAGGAGGGGGAGTTTGAGCTGAGCCTTGAAGACTAGGGAGAATTTCAACATTATTTTATTTTTTAAAAAAAGTTTAGACAGAGGAAATTGCAAAAGCAAAGACACTTTTTAGTAGAAAGAGTGTTGATCTGGGAGGCAACAGACCTGAGTTTAAACCTCAGTTCTGTCATTCACTTCTTTAAAGAATACCTTCCCCTCTCAGGCCCTCAGTTTTCTCATAGGTAAATTAGTTAATTTTTTTTAAGATTTTATTTATTTATTTGACAGAGAGAGATCACAGGTAGGCAGAGAGGTGGAGGAAGCAGGCTCCCTGCTGAGCAGAGAGCCCAATGTGGGGCTCGATCCCAGGACCCTGGGATCATGACCCCAGCCAAAGGCAGAGACTTTAACCCACTGAGCCACCCAAGCACCCCAAATTAGTTAACTTTTAAAGGTCCTCCATGATATAGTTTTTCAAGTGTCAGGTAAACCAGTTTGCCTCCATATAGAATAGGTGAAAGAGAATAATTCAAGGGTATCATATCCATGATATGAAGAGTGTTAGATGCCAGGCCTGGGAGCCTGAGCAGAGAAAGAAAACAGAAGCCAAGTCCCAGGCCTAAGCCCTGAGGTTGTACATTTAAACTGGTTCCAATTTAAATACATAAACTTTACAGTTAGGGTGGCTTAGGATGGGAACCTAACTATACTCTATACTCATAGTTCACTTAAATAGTCATGACACCTCTCTGAGCCTCAGTTTCTTCATCTCTAAAGTGGGAATAATACTAATAAATAGCTCATGGAGCTGTTGTGAAAATTAAATGAGATCGTGTGTAGAAAGTGCCTTACAGGGTATGATACTTTCTCTGTCCCTAAGTCCCTTTTCCCCAGTGCCAGGTTTTAGTTAGTCTTTGCTGCTCAATTACTTCTGTTCCTTCTCCTGCGTCTTCTTCAGAGCAGGCTTCAAAATATATCCAGAATCTAACCACTTTCCTCCATCCCCGATGGCATTCATCTGGTTTATTGCAATAGCCTTTTAATTAATCAACCCACCTACAATCTATTCTTAATCCAACTGCTAGAGTGATCCCTTCAAAACTTAAATCATATCACTCCTCTGCTCAAAACCCTACAATGTCTCCCTACCTCACTTAGAGCAAAAATTAGAATCTTTACAATGACACACTCCCCCTTAGCATTTGAATCCCATCTATTTTTTAGCCACACAGTTTTGTTTTGTTTAGTGTTTTCTCCAACAGAAGACAGACATTTTCTCATTCTATTTTCATGGGTTCCCTCTATCTGGATCTTCTCCTCATAGCTCATACCAGTACCTCTTCTGTATTTTATTTAAATGTCATTTCGAGGTGAGGTGTTTCCAAACCACCACATTTAAAATTGCAACATCCTGCCCCAGAATTCTATATCCTCCTTCCTGCTTTCTTTTTCTTCACAGCATTGATCTTTGCCATCTGACAAATCATAAAATGTAATTACTTATTAGTGTCCCTCCCCACGAAGATATAAGCTTAATAAGGTTAGGGGTTTTGTCTGTTCACTATAATAAATGCATAGAAAAGCCCCTAGCATTCAATAAATATTTGTTGAGTGAATTAATGAATACAGTGGTTCTATACTGTGTGCCATGCACTAAGTTAAGCAATTTGCATATATTATTTCAGTAAATCCTACCTTGTAATGTGGACACTGTTAGGATCTCTATTTTACACAGGAAAAATCCCTGAAACTCCTACAGGCAAAGTGATATTTTCAAAGCCAAAGAGAGATTGGTTAATGGAGGTGTCAGTTTATATTGGACTTTATAGAGGAACACATTCCCACAGCCTAGATTAAAGGTAGTGGTAGGCTTGGGGATGGAGACCAGGGAGGGAAGGGGATGGGAAAGAACACTGGGATACAGACTGATTTTGTGGTCAGAAGGTTATCTGATTTCTTGAACAAAAATCTTGTATTCATTTGACATCTGCTGGCAAGCCAATGTCTTTTTCAATAATTGGAACTTTACAAAGGAAATTTCCTCAAGTGTGCAAGAAAGTTGGAAGTTGTAGCTGCCCTGGATTTGAGACTGCAAGAATTTGACCCTTTGGGGTACTGGCTTTGGGGCAGAAGTCAAACCTGGTAGAAAGACACCTGAGACTAGTGAACTGACAGGAAAAGAAGCAAGCCCGTTACCCACATGGTTCTTCTCCCTTTCCTTCTTTTTTCATAACCTATTCTCTTTATCTTTCTTTAATTTGTGCATATTTGTAAAACATCCAATTAATCCAGCCTGCTGTCCCTTGGAATGTAACCTTAGGAAGGCAGAGCAAAATATTTGTGTCTTGTTCACTTCTGTATCGCCAGTGCCCTCAACAGTGCCTAGCACTCAGTACACACACAATATATACTTGTAAAATGAATTTGTTCTTAGAAACAAAGCCCTCCTCCTGGGGGAGGGAGAGAGGCAGAGAAGGGAAATCTCTTTTTTCTGGTACCCTGGGCCAGTTCCAGTGGAGTACCCCTGCAGGGCAATGTGGGAAGAGGGGATACCACAGATGCAGGCTGGACTGAGCAAGGGAAATTCAGCAGAGAGGCCCCAAGGTAAGGACTGAATCCCAAAAAGCAGGACTTGGCCCTGCTTCTGCCTGCCTTCATCTCACTTTGGAGGGAACTGGCCAGAAACCCCTGGAGGAGCTCCTGCCTCCAAAAGCACAAACTAGTGCTATGGGGACCAGATGGACAAAGCAAGAAAGGTGAGACGGAAAGGCCTGGGAGCTCTGGGAGAGGGAGTGCAGAGTGAACAAGCCCCTGTGAAAGTGAAAGGGCCCTTCATTTGAATGCAAATGATATGTAAAAGCCTGAAGCCCCTTGACGTCAGCCTAGCCATTGGTGGCCCATCTATACTGGGCTACCAGTCACCTGGAAACCTGAGGGGTAGATAACGCGGATGGAATGGTCTGAGAGGCACAGGAGGGCGTGCAGCACAGCTACTGACTGACGTATAGATTCTCTGCTGCTTCTCAAAGTCGGGCTGGGGTCTTACAAGAATTTCAGAATGGCCTAGGGAGCTCCTTCCTCGTACTCAAGCCACTATGTACAGAAGCTGCCTTTTGGAAAAAGAAGCAGGCATGGACCTGGGCACTCTTAGGAGCCCCGCGGGAGGAGAAACCGCCAGGACTGGCAGCACTGGGAGTGGTGGGAGTTCCCTGCCAGCTTCCAACTTCACAGCAGCCCCTGCCTATGCGCACTACATGGGGTATCCCCATATGCCCAACATGGATCCTCACGGGCCGTCGCTGGGGGTCTGGGGTTCACCCTGTAGTCCCCCTCGAGAAGACTGGAATGTGTACCCAGGGCCATCCAGTACAATAGGCACGATGCCCATGAACAACTTTACCTCGAGCCCTTCCTCTTTTGGCTCTCAGGAATACAGCAGTTTGGGCCCTGCCGGCAGGGGGAGCAGCAGAGGCAGCCTGGTAGCCCCAGCCAGCGAGTCACTGTCCCCCATAAACGCCGACGCTGTGGATGCCAGTTCTCCCAACAGAAGTCGCCACAGCCCTTATGCATGGATGCGCAAGTCAGTGCAGGTGCCGGGTGAGTAATCGATACCAATGCCTTCACACTTTTCCTTCCTTTGCTTGGCTTCTACTTCCGTTGGCCTGTCTGTCCTTCTGCTTCTCAGGCCTCTCCAGGGACAGTTTAGCTAAGGACTACTGCGTGGCTGAGTGCCCAAGATCCCCTCTCATTAGTGACCTCCCTTGCATGTGCCTCTGCTTAAAACCGAACAAAACTGCTTGGAACAAAACTGACCTTAGGGGAGTTTTCATCGTTTTCTTTTTTTTTTTTTTTTTTAAGATTTTATTTATTTATTTGACAGACAGAGATCACAAGTAGGCAGAGAGGCAGGCAGAGAGAAAGGGGGAAACAGGCTCCCCGCTGAGCAGGGATCCTGATGCAGGGCTCGATCCCAGGACCCCAAGATCATGACCTGAGCTGAAGGCAGAGGCTTAACCCCCTGAGCCACCCAGGTGCCCCTTTCATCATTTTCTGATATGTCAAGGGAACAAGATGGTGGACAATGGACACACTGAGCCACAAGGATCAGGATCCAACCCTGTAGTTGCCCACGTGGGAAAACAGATGCACAGGAAAGGTCAATGGGTGAGTGAGGCAAGAGGATAGCCACCATCCCAGTGCAGTCGCTGGTACTTGCCATTTCCATTTAAAACCCTTCCCCTTCTAGGAAGGTCTGCTCCCCTCAAATGCTAATGATACTCAACTTTGGTTTCATGGTACTTGGCTGGACCCTTCAGTTAAGCCACAAAAGCCCCAAGCAAAATGGCCTTGTCATCCTGTCCTTTCAAGGTAGCTGCATCTTCCTTCACTCAAGTTGGCAGAGGCAAGCTAGACTCAAATCCATTGCCTTCTTTCAAAGTCCTTTCTGCCAATGGAAGTGTTGAGTCAGGTGAGAAGGCAGCAGCACACTGCTGGGACATAATAAGCTACTCAACTCTAACATCCCTGGGCATGCAGAGTATCAGTCCCCGCACTAATAGATGGTTAAGGACTTCATAACTGTGCAGGAAGGCTTCTGGAGACACAGGGTCCGGATGTAGGTCTGTAATGGAGTGCAGGAAGGCCCAGAAATTCTGGCCTAATGCTGACCCACGCTGGTACCAGCAAGCAGTGTGTTGTTGCTGGGAGCCCAGGCAGGGGAAATGGGCACTCTGTTTTAATCTTGGATGGGGGGAGGCGGAGAGATGTTTGTTTTCAGCTGTAGTTGTTCTTTTATCATATTTTATTATTCCAACCTATCACTCTCTGTTGTTAGGGAAAATCAGTAAAATTTAACTCTATCATTTTTATCCCTCTGAAGAGGAAATGAATTTCAATAGCATTTGTCAATAATGATTATACTTTTGTTCACGGTTTCTGCACTTTTTCTCCCCTTCAAAATCAAAGGCAGGAGAATGCGAAGGGACCAAGTTTTACCATTAGGAGGATGTTTAGCCGGAAGGAGGCAGTTCGGTTGATTGGGACATTACTAGGATAGCAATCCCAAATTAAGAGTAGAGCTTAAACACTTGGCTTTAAAGTGTTTGGAAATAAATCTTCATTTTTAAAAATATGGGTGAGTCAGCTGGTGAAGTAGAATAAAAAATAAGGTTAAGGTGGGGCACTCCGGGGGCTGTTATTACATCTAATCTTAGGGTTGTAATTAACATCCATTTACTAAGCCCTAAGATCAGCAAAAGACACAGAAGTAAAAAAGTATCTGCTCTCAGTCTAAGATTATGTTTTGAAATGCTTTAGAAAAGTTATTAGTATGTTTGGAAGAGAGAACAATGGAGGAGGGAATGGCAAAAGAAATTTTCTTGAGTCTTGAATTTTTATTTATGAGAGAAAACATGAGAGGTTTCTCTCTTAGAAGCCTTCCATTTGCATTTGTTTTTATGAGCTTGGTCTCCCTCTTGGGTAATGCTGGTGCCAGGGGAAGTTTAGAAAGGGACTCCTTGGTTTGTGATATCTTCATCACAAACCTTTAAACCTGGCTGTACAATGCCACCTTCACAAGGTTTTCTTTCCAAATTCTATTGAAAAATTTAAAATTGAAATATTTTGGAACCCCTCTGACTCCTGGCAGCTTATCTTGTAGATGAGGCTTTATTAGAGTCCATCTTTATTTCATTTTAATGTCTTATAAGTTAAAATTATCTTTTTGCTATATGCTTGTAGCCCGATTTGTAGCAGATTTAGTAGCAGTTCAAGAATATAATGAGAAGTATTGACATTATCCCCAGAAAAATGCACAAAAGTGTACATACTTGCACCCACATGCATGTGCATGTACACACACATGCCCCCCACACACACACACATCATTTTAAAAATAATTTTGGGAGATGCATAGATCCACTGAAGCCCTTCTATGAATCTCAGGTTATGAATTATACACAAAAATATTAAGCTGATCACCTCAGTGGACCACTCTGAGCCAAAATGCACACACTGGTATGCTTAGCACATAGTGTTAAACAAATATTTGTTAAATGAATGAATGAGTCAGATCCTCCTAAATATTTTACTTCACTCTGTAGTATTGTGGGACAACATTTGGCTTATGGCTGAGGAGATAATTAGATGAACTGCAAAATAGAAGTAACCCCTCTCTGATTAAGGTAATCAAATAAAAAAGTCTTTCCATTACTGAAGATTATTTTAAATAACCTTAAGCCAAAGAAAGACAAATACACATATTAGGGAACAATCAGAAATATTTCATAGTGAGTATCTTCACATTTGATTTTCTAAGGAAAGGGGACTGACAGAGTAAATGTCTGTCTCCTAGGTGATTTGATTAAAAAGAAAGATATTTTTATTTACACATTGTTCTCTAAGTGGTCTGTTCCAATACACATCTTATTTTATTTTTTAATTTTTTAAAAGATTTTATTCATTTATTTGACAGAGAGAGACAGCAACAGAGGGAACACAAGCTGGGAAGTGGCAGAGGGAGAAGCAGGCTTCCCACTGAGCAGGTAGCCAGATGCAGGCTTGATTCCAGGACTCTGGGATCATGACCTGAGCCGAAGGCAGATGCTTAACAACTAAGCCACCCAGGCATCTCACACATCTCACTTTAAAGATTACATGAAGAAGAACCTGCAGAAAGGTTCTGTGAAAAGTTTAGTATCTTCCTATTTTAAACATTGTCAGTGCATTACAGCTAGGAATTATTTTTTTCATTTTTTCTATTACCCAGAGTAGTAGTCTTGGATAAGTTTCGGCAAGGTAATTATCTAAGCAGAGCTGGAGAAAGGCTTTTTTGTTAGGAGTTGGGAAGATGGAGAGAGAATGAAGTAACTGAGTGATTCTGATTAAGCCACTGGACAAAACACTGAGAAAGTTATACTTAAAAGGCTTTACTCAATTACTCTTAATCTCAAAACAAACTGAGGGTTGGGGGGGGTAGGGAGAGGGTGGTGGGATTATGGACATTGGGGAGGGTATGTGCTATGGTGAGTGCTGTGAAGTGTGTAAACCTGGCAATTCACAGACCTGTACCCCTAGGGCCAATAATATTTTATATGTTAATAAAAAAGGCTTTACTCAATTAATATACTTCAGAAAATAAGTTGCTTAATAATTCTTGAAGATTATCATTGTGTTTCTTGGTTTGGTTTTGACCATTTTGCTGGACAATGTTTTAAATAAATTTGGATGCAATTTTTAACTAAAACAGCAAAAGATTATCTTAAGATAGAAAGTCATTAAGATGGGGTCAATTGCATTGTATTTCCTATAGAAGGAAACTGGTTTTCATCCTCTTTGCTTTGGTTTGATATGAATATATGGACATTATTCTCTACTAGAAGATGTCCAAATCCCAGTCAGTCCAATTTCATCATTCAAGGGGCAGAGGCAATGAGACAGAAGAAAGAAGAGAGTTCAGGAAAAGGGATATAGGAGGAATTCATTTCTCTTTACAAAATGTGCAGTCAATATTTCCCCTGAGCTACATGTTCTTGAGGTTTGAGGTCTTATCTGTCAGACTGAGGCAACAGACTCTTTTTAACACTTCGCATGGCTTTGATATGCAGCTGGCTCTTCCTCATCCCTCCTTTCTTCATGGGTTATATTGCCAGAAAGGGTGAGGATTTTCATGGCAAATAAAGAAGCCTGGTCTTGACTTTATTGTCCTTAGAAGAAACTGCAAGAGGGGAATTTATGACCAATGGGGGTGGGGAAGGACAGCAACCTTCCAGAGCTCTTTCTTGAGGTCTGGTTATATTTACTGATTATCAAAGAGCAGAAAATACAGACATGTACAAGTTGAATTTTAACTTCTGCTTCAAGTTAGAATTTAAATACTCAGTTATCTTGGGATTAGAAAGGGTTTAAGGAGACATCTCTTAAAATATATATTTTGATCCCAAGATATGAGGTTCTGGAAATAAATTAAACCTCCAAGATTTCATTGTGATTTCAAATATACATTCTGCCTCTGTAAATAATCAAATACCAGACCCCTGGTTTCCTGGGTTTCTGTTTGGATTTAAAAAACCAGCTCAAATTTTGGGCCTTCCAGGTAGGTTAACTGACTAGTGCTCATAATTTTCAATTTTCAGGGAGAAAAGTATAGTTTAGTTCATTAGTCCATGAGTTATTCAGCCATTAAGTTTAATACTAAAACATATCTCTCATCCAGAATTTGTTTCTACATTCATGTCTCTTTTTTTTCTTTCCTGGAGATGAAAGAGTGTCTGGCATTTGTTTAGGGCTTGTAAATTTCAAACCAACTGGCTGGTGTTCCTGAATGTAAAGAGGGTTCAGGATGGGATCTGATGCTATGTAGCTCCTTTGTTAGGCCTGTGCTGCTTCTTAACACCTCAATGGGGTTTAGAGAACCACTTTAAAGAAACCTTTGTCCTACAGATTGCTCCCCAAAACCTTACATCAAAAACAACCAGGGAAGATCAGAAGCAGTTTGCCAAATGCCATAGAGAAAAGGAGAAAGGTCCTGGAGGGAGTTAGAAAAATTGAAAAGAAAAGGAACATTCCTAATCACCTTTGGAAAATTTGAAAGGAGGAATAAAATTCTGAGGAAAGGGATGAGAAATTAGTTAAATGCTGTAACACAAAGCAAGTGTTTGTATATCCTTTCAAAGAATATGAGAATACTCATTTCATTCTGCTTAAGTCAACACCTCTTTCTTCCCCCATTGATTAGCCACTTGGGAATAAAAGTTGATTTAAGATGCTCACACACACAAAATTTTTTCTAGTAGATAATAGGAGCTATCCTAGAACAGAATCTAAGTGACAATAAATGCTTTCTTTAAAATTATTATCCAAACAAAATTCTCTATAGAGTATATACATAACTAGAATGTATGCAGCTAATAATGTCAGGATCACAGAATAGTTTGCCATACTTGGGCCATTCTTATGCTTCCCAGCATCTTTAAACTGGGAATAACATTTAGCATACTGGACTGAGAGTCGGAGGTATATGTTTAGGTCCCAGCACTTCAGTTCACTAGCACAAAACCATTTACTTACCTACACTGAGCCTCAGGTTTCTTATTTCAAAAATGGGGATGAGACATACTCTGCATAATTCAAAAGTGTAGGTGAGGGGTTCAATAAGAAATGGTAAAAATGAACTGCATAAAATATAAAGGAAATTATATGTATGCTATATATTGCTTCTACGAGCAGGAAGGGAAGGGAATGAAAATCATGGATTAAGTGTTTGCTTTAAAAAAAAATAAAATGCGGGGCACCTGGGTGGCTCAGTGGGTTAAAGCCTCTGCCTTTGGCTCAGGTCATGATCCCAGGGTCCTGGAATCGAGCCCCACATCGGGCTCTCTGCTTGGCAGGGAGCCTGCTTCCCCCTTTCTCTCTGCCTGCCTCTCTGCCTGCTTGTGATCTCTGCCCATCAAATAAATAAATAAATAAATCTTTAAAGAAAAATAAAAAATAAAATGCTGTGGTCTAAATAGGTCAATGGTGGTGTGATATATTATATATATATATATATATATATATATATATATATATATACACATACCACAGATAATAAAGAATTTAATGGAAAAGTGGATATATCACATATTTGGTTAAAAAAATGTACTTGTTTCATATTCAAAAGTAATAGATAAGGATGGGAAGTGTAGTTGTGATTCCTTTAACCAAAACAATCTCCAAAGAAGTAAAATGTGATTAAACATATTACTTTCTCCCCTAACAGGGAAAACCAGGACAAAAGAAAAGTATCGTATGGTTTACACACAACATCAAAGACTGGAGCTAGAGAAGGAATTCCACTGCAGTAGATACATCACCATTCGGAGAAAATCAGAATTGGCAGTCAACCTCGGCCTTTCTGAAAGACAGGTACACTGGAAGTACAACCAACATGTCTTAAACAGTTATTTCAATAGGCTGAGGTTTCAGGGAAGTCTGTAAGCAAGAGTGGAAGCAAAACAAAAGACTAAGACACTATCCAAGCTCTCTTAAAAAACATTCATTTTACTGGACCTCCTAGTTTAGTCTCATTGGTCAGTGGTTTTGTTAAAAACTGAATGTGGTAGGCAATATGCAGATGGAGAAGCAAAGGGTTGGAACATAAGAGGTGAAGAATTAAAACTCCCATAAAGTTAATCAGTCAAGTCAAAAACTTGATTGACTCCCCAAGTAGTCACAACCAATGTATGAAGTGGTGATTTGGCAATCATGGGAATTATCTGGTTCACATCAGTCAAACTATAATAGTAACTGAACACCAATGCTGCTACCTGAACCAAGTTTTTCTATTATTCAGGGTAGGAAATTTAATTTTCAATGGTCTGTATAATTCTACGATGCCTGCCTCAAATTTAGCATACAGTAGGTACTCAATGAAGCATGACAAGGATCAATGGTTTCCATTTACCTAAACTTTGACATTACAAAACTATCTGATATTTTTTTGCTTAAGCCTAGAAGTAATCCTGGAATCTTAGAATGCTGGAATTGGAAAGTCCATTAGTGTGCTACCTATCCCAAGCAGCTTGCATTTCATCCAGGTATGAAGGCACATTGGCATCACAGCAAGAGATAGAATATTTTATCACCCTGTTCACCCAGTTCTATGTTTCATTAAACTTATTATTAGAAAGTTACTTTTAATGACAAATAGTAATCAACTTTGTTATTTAAATCCCTCCCCTTTTATCACCACACCTCAGCATCTGCCATTCTATCATTTATTTCTACCTGTGTAACAGAGGCAGTGGATGAGGTGTAATGTAAAGAGCACTGCATTTAGAATCAGTAGCCCTGGATTTGATCTCAAAGTTTCATCTCATGCAAGATACTTTCCTTCTCTCTGTCTCAGCATTTTTTTTTAACCTGCTAAATAGGTATACTTCACAGGGTCACTGGGAGCCTCAGATGAAGTGATACATGTGACAGGGCTTTGTAAATGCTAAAATCTCCATACAATATCAGCAATAACTATGAAAACTGCATTTGGTATGATGCTCCATTAAATATAAAGCATTTTTTGTTTCAGGTGAAAATCTGGTTTCAGAATCGCAGAGCCAAGGAAAGATGATCAAAAAGAAAATCTCCCAGTTTGAGAACAGTGGAGGGTCAGTACAAAGTGATTCTGGCTCCATCAGCCCTGGGGAACTACCTAACACTTTATTCCACACCTCATCTGCTGTTCGTAGATTTCAGCCTCTTGAGATACAGCAGATTGTAGTCTCTGAATGAAAGAAAAGGCAAAGAAAAATGGAAAGTCCTCCACCCTTTAGCATTGTCTTCTTGGTCTCCAAGATATAAGCAGAGGAGTTAGGACAGGATGTAACATCTCATGAGGCAGTATTCAGAACAAGTGGATGTGCAGTGGTTGAAGATAATTGAGAGGTCACTTACTATTAGAAATCATCCTCAGAAAACTCCTGTTGTGTGCTATGCTATATGGCGGTCACTTAGGAACTTGCTGGTAAGCTATATAATTAAATGCTACAATCACAGGCCTTTGCAACTCTACTCACAATTTCAGAAACTTACTTGTGAACAAATTGTAAAAAAAAAAACAGTTCAGGAAGGAAGCACATTTGTGTATGTGTACTTGTATTTGTTATTTGATGCTGGATGTGTTGTTTTATGCCGTCTTGGTGTGGAGGAGATAAACAGAAATTTATCCATCTGTAGCTACCTTTGCAAGCGATTAATTCAAAAGCTAACAGCATTTTCATAGCAAGACAAATGTTTAAAAATCAGCAAGAGATGATTCTGAATCCATTATCACTTATTAAAAATAATAAATAGAAAGAGTATTTTTTGTTCATCAATCAGTCATTTTCTGGCATCAATTACCTCATCTTAGAACTTCCAACCTATAGTGTCAATTTCAAATCTTGCCAAAATAATGAAGTCAGACCGGAACAAAACAGCTTGGTTGAGTCAATAAAAAGGTTGCTCTAAGGCCAGCTCAAAATGGTTAACTTGGTAATGCTCCTTAAAAACAGGAATAAATCCCCTAAGACAGGCAAAAATGCCACAAAATAATAAACACAAATTACTTGGACTTTATAAGTTTCTCTTTAGTTGTACTTGTGCACACACTTCTGATTTGCCCCTATGGATGAAGGAAATAACAAGACAAATGCTTTCCAGGGAAAAGGGACAAAATTCTCCCTTCTTCTTCTAGTATAACCTCTGTTGGTTCTCTAGTCTGATGAAACAAAAGTGGAAGTTTCAACCCTGAAACAGTTTGAATGGTGGGCCCCCAAAAGATATGCCCACTTCTTAATCCTTAGAACTTCTAAATAATAAAACCTTATATGGCAGAAGAGTGAATATTCTCCTACATGACAAAAGATGCAATTAGATTAAGGAACTTCAGAGAAGGATCTTACCCCAGATTATCTATGTAGATCTTAAATGTAATTATTTCTGTATCTGTAAGATACAGACAGAGGGAGATTTCAAACATGCTTTAGTCTATTGGGGCTGTTATGAAAAACACCACAGACTGGGAGCTTTTTTTAAAATTTTTATTTATTTGACAGAGAGAGAGATCACAAGTAGACAGAGAGGCAGGCAGAGAGAGGGGGAAGCAGGCTCCGTGCTGAGCAGAGAGCCTGATGAAGGGCTCAATCCCAGAACCCTGAGATCATGACCTGAGCTGAAGGCAGAGGCTTAACCCACTGAACCACCCAGGTGCCCCCGGACTGGGAGCTTATTAACAACAAAAATTTAGGTTATATCTCCTCAAGCAAGGGAAACAAAAGCAAAAATAAACAATTGGGACTACAGCAAACTAAAAAGATTTTACACAGTGAAGGAAACCATTGATAAAACAAAAAAACAACCTACTAAATGGGAGAAAATGCTTGCAAATGATACATCTGATAAGGAGTTAATATCTAAAATATATTTTCAAAAAACTTATAAAACTCAACACTAAAAAACCAATCCATTTAAAAAATTGTCAGAATACTTGAATAGACATTTTTCCAAAGAAGACATACAGATGACCAACAAATACATGAAAAGATGTTCACATCACTAATCATCAGCGAAATGGAAATCAAAACCACCACTGGATCTCACCTCACAGCAGTCAGAATTACTAGTATCGAAAAGACAAGAAATAATAAGTGTTGGTGAGGAAATAACAAGGGAACTCTCATACACTGTTGGTGGGATTGTAAATTGGTGCAGCCATTGTGGAAAACAGTATGGAGGTTCCTCAAGAAAAGTAAAAAAGAAGTACTACACAATCCACTAATTCCATCTTCAGGTATTTACCCAAAGAAAACAAAAACACTAATTCAAAAATATATATTCACCTTAATGTTTATTACAGCATTGTTTCCAATAGCCAAGCTATGGAAGCAACCCAAATGTCCATCAACAGATGAATGGATAAAGGAAATCTGGTATAAAAAATAAAATAAAAAAGAAGATCTGGTATATATCACAATGGAATATTACTCAGACATAAAAAAGAATAAAATCTTCCCATTCATGATAACATGGATGGACCTAGAAGGTATTATGCTAAGTGAAATAAGTCAGAGAAAGACAAATACCATAGGATTTTACTTATATGTTGAATCTAAAAGACAAATGAAAAAATAACAACAACTGAAACAACAAAAAGAAACAGACTTACAGGGCGCCTGGGTGGCTCAGTGGGTTAAGCCGCTGCCTTCGGCTCAGGTCATGATCTCAGGGTCCTGGGATCGAGTCCCACATCAGGTTCTCTGCTCGGCAGAGATCCTGCTTCCCTCTCTCTCTCTCTGCCTGCCTCTCCATCTACTTGTGATCTCTCTCTGTCAAATAAATAAATAAAATCTTTAAAAAAAAAAAAAAAGAAAGAAACAGACTTACAAATAGAAAGAACAAATTAATGATTTCCAGAAGGGAAGGGGTCAGGGGATAGGTGACCAGTTATACAATAAATAATTCATGAGGATGAAAAGTAGAGCATAGAGTATATAGTCAATAATAGTATAATAACTTAATATGGTGACAGATGTTAACTACACTTAGAGTGGGGAACATTTTACAACTGTAAAATTACTAGGTAGAATTCCTGAAATTAATATATGTCAAATATGTTTCAGTTAAAAAATTTAAAAATAATAGCAGAAATTTATTTCTCACAGTTCTAGAGACTGAAAATCCAAGATCAGGGTGCCAGCATGGTCAGGTTCTACTGAAGGTGCTCTTCTGTGTTGCATACTGTCTGCTTCTTGCTGTGTCTTTACATGATGGAAGGGGCAAGAGAACTTTATAAAAATATCACAAGGGAACTAATTCAACTTATGAAGGCTCTGCCCTTATTACTTAATCACCTTCCAAAGGCTCCAATTCCTAAAACCATAACATTTGGCATTAGATATTAATTGGGACAGGACACAATCATTAAGACCTACAGCAAAATATAAGAGAAGGAGGTCATGTATCCATGGAGCAATGTGGCCAAAAGTCAAGGAACATGAGGACAATCCAGAAGCTGTTAGAAGCAAGTAACAGATTCTCCCCTAGAGTATCTGAAGGATGAGGACTATTGTTGACACTTTGATTTTGTACTACTGGCTTCTAGAATTGTGAGTATATAAATCTCTGTTGTTTTAAGATACCAAGTTTGTGGGGGCACCTGGGTGGCTCAGTTGGTTAAGCATCTGCCTTCAGCTCAGATCATGACCTCAGGGTCTTGAGATCAAGCCCCATATCAGGCTCCCTGCTTGGTGGGCAGTCTTGGTGACTTCCCTCTCCTTCTGACCAACCCAGCTTCCCCCTCCCCCACTCATACTCTCACACACACTCTCTCTCTCAAATAAATAAATAAAATCTTAAAAAAGAAAAGAAAATACCAAGTTTGTGGTAATTTCTTAGAGCAACCACAGGAAATTACTTCAGAAATTTTCCAAGAGTCCTCCTAACCAAGCCTAAATCAGTCATCACCACCCTCCATCATTTTCACATAATGTGTGTATGTTTCCATTGTACTGAGATATAACTGATATACAAAAAGCTGCACATATATAATATATGTGATTTGACAAATTTGAACATCACCGTAAAGTAATAGACATACCTACCTCCAAACCTTTCCTTGTGTTCCTTTGTTTTGTTTATTTTTTTTCATTTAATTTCAATTAACCAACATATAGTATACCACTAGTTCCAGATGTAGTGCTCAACAATCCATCAGTTGTGTATAACACCCAGTGCTCATCACATCACATGCCCTCCTTAATGCCCATCACCCAATTACCCCATTGCCCCCTGCCTCCCCTACAGCAACCCTCAGTTTGCTTTCTATAGTTAACAGTGTCTCATGGTGGGGCATCTGGGTGGCTCAGTCAGTTAAGCATCTGCCTTTGGCTCAGGTCATGATCCCAGAGTCCTGGAATTGAGCCCCACAGCAGACTCTCCGCTCAGCAGGGAGCCTGCTCCTCCCTCTCTCTCTGCCTGTCGCTCCCCCTGCTTGTGCTCCCTCTGTGTCAAGTAAATAATAAAATATTTTTAAAAATAAAAATTAAAAAATAAAAAGTATGGTATTTAAAAAAGAATGTCTCATGGTTTTTCTTCCTCTCCAATGACTTTCCACTCAATTTTCCCTCCATTCCCCTTCAAATTCTCTGCACTGTTTCTTATATTTCATAGATGAATGAAAACATAACAATTTTCTTTCTCTGGTTGACTTATTTTGCTCACCATAATACCCACCAGTTTCCATCCACATCAATGTAATGGTAAGTATTCATCCTTTCTGATGGCAGGACTGTATTTCAGTGCACGTGTGTGTGTGTGTGTGTGTGTGTGTCTGTGTGTGTGTGTGTGTGTGTGTGTGTGTATAGATAGATGATAGATAGATGATAGATAGATCACATCTTACCACATCTTCTTTATCCATTCATCTGTCGATAGATGCCTGGGCTCTTTCCATATTTTGGCCTTTGTGGACATTGCTACTATAAACATTGGGGTGCACGTGCCCCTTCAAATCACTATGTATCCTTTAGATAGATATCTAGTAGTGCACATGCTGGGTTATAGGGTAGCTCTATTTTTAACTTTTTGAGGAACCTCCATACTGTTTTCCAGAGTGGCTATAACAGCTTACATTCCCACCAACAGTGTAAGAGAGTTCCCCTTTGTCTGCATCCTTGCCAACATCTGTTGTTTCCTGACTTTTTAATTTTATCCATTCTGACTGGTGTGAAGTCATATCTCATTGTTGTTTTGAT